CCCCATGATTATGCGCGTAAAGTTTTATGGTTCAAAGCAGTTAGACGTGATGTTCCTAAATCGAAATCAATGTTTTTTTGTTGCGAGGATCATTTTAATGACACTTTAAGGAATCCTTCTGAAGCGATTTTTTAGTTTAACACAAACTATAAATTATTTAAATCCACAAAATAATTAATGAAACACAACCACACAACTAAACACTGCACAGAACGTAAACAATCCGCCATTTATATGACCAGTGACGTCACAACCGATAGGATTGCGTTCTAGAGATTCATGAATAATGTGAATTTTAGCTGAATTTGTTTATTAACTATTTGACAAAATAGCAATAGATAGATAGTATAAACTTATTTATTCTTTCACATATATATATAGTACCATAGATTAATGTTCAGTTTGTAGGAATTTTTGATACAATGAAAAAACCCTTTTGTCTGCATGTTCAAAAAAATGTTGCAAATCTAGTAAATGTCCGCTGCCTTTGTAATTCCATTTGCTATGTACCAAAGATTCGCTCTGGTTAAGTTAAAGACATTTTTCTCTCCAATGCGTCATATTTCCCGGCTATCTGGTGCCTTCGGTTGATTTACCGCGGATTAATTGACTGGAAATTTAGTGAACAAACACGGCAAACCCTATTTTTGAGTGAACTAACATTGTCGCGACGCTGTCTAGTCCCAGATTTGCTCGCAATAACATTTTCATAAACCGCTCATGTCTTTGTGGGTTGTCAGAAAAGGCGCCGTGTTACAAGAGTTTCAATTATAAAACTCTGTTTTTCCATCAATCAGATGGATTTTCACTTCTACAAGATGCAGATTAACTCGCCCCCTCTTCAATATCCGTTGGACAACTCCTGCCGGCTGTAAGTTCCGAACAGGAACACGATGAACAGAACTCCTGCATTATCAACATATCTGTTTGCTGAAACTGAGACAATGCAGCTGAGCGTGTAATTGTTTCGATATTTACCTTCCGCCCGTCCGAACTTCCAGTTGCACTTTCGCACGGCCAAAGTGCCATAGTGGAGTCGCCACCGCAGGCTATAGGGATGATTTGGGGTGTTCGCATGGATTAAATCTTTATTATCAATGTCCCTATATTGTGTGTGCCGAAGAGATTTCGATCAGAGCGTTCTTGGATTGTTAATTTTTACATTCAGCTACTCAGTTTCGTAATGAAAAATCGTTTGTTCCTCTGGCCAGAGCGCAAGTGGTGGTGTATTTAACTGTTTTTATGCAGAAAGTTGTTTGTAAAGTTCCTATGTTTCAGTTCAAGAAATTCAAGCTTTAACTAAAATTAAAAAAACTTAAAAATCGCTCTTAGTTTTTCCTGAAACTAATGGGTTTTTCGGGTTTTTAGGCCGTCGTTCGGTAGAATTTCTTCTTGACGTTTCGCAAGCACGAGTGGCTTGCATCTTCAGAGGTG